TCACTTTGTGCGTGATCTGGTCCTGAAAGGACAGCTCTGCGTCCACTGGATTGCTTCGAGCGAGAATACTGCTGACATCTTCACCAAGGGCCTCGACGAGGCGCAGCACGCTCATCTGAGGATGAAGCTCCTCAACAATCCTGTGTTCGACGACGAAGGGACACCGATGGTGCCCGACGATCCGCACGACAAGGTGCTGATGGTGCCTGATCGGTCACACAGCGCAAACACAGACTCACACGCCGCTGAATGCGCCCTGTGCTGCTTTCTGCGTTTTGGTTCCGTCTGCTGAATGCGGATACCTGTTTGAGAGGGGGAGGTCGCTGTAATGCGATGCAGAAGGACAGCACAGTGCGAGAGGGGGTGTCAGAGGCTGCGTGTGTTGGGGTAGATCCCCCCGTGTAATGCCACTGCATGCTGAGAACCCTGAGCACTCCGAACTGTCCCTCCTTCTCGTGAACCGTCCCTCTGGCTCATCTGTTGCCTTAACGGGCAACGACAGCGATCCTCCACAGCCACTCTCATCTACCGACAACCTGTTTTGCAAAATGGCGCATGTGTTGCCTCTGCAGGTGTGGCAGCGTCGAGTGCTGTCCAATCTGGGCGTCCGTGATGCCATCCGAGTCAGATCTTCGTCACGCGCCAGCGGCACCTCGGCTGTCAACTGCACCCTCATTCTCGGCCGCATCGACACATTGCTGATTCGCTATGGGCTCAGTGGGCTGATTGACGTCGACAGACATGGCGGGACGGCTGGGGCGGCTCCGCTGCCCGGCGGCCTCTCGCGCATCGACTACCTGTGCCGCGTGCTGTATCTGCTGGAGCGTGGTGGCCGTCTGTGGGCCTGGCTGGGCGGCTTCCTCCGCTTGGCGGCCATCTATCGGCTGACGCCCGCTACGCCTCTGGTGATATCGGCTGAGTGGGTGCAGCAGCACTGGCCCACCAGGGCCGCCTTGCGCCAGCTGCCGCTCGCACTGGCCATCTACAAAGCCATCGGCCATCTGCTCAGCCACAGAGGCGACAGCCTGGCCCTGACCACAGACGAACAGACGAACGAGAATGACGAGGTCAGTCACATCAGAGGGGACATTCATGACTGACGTCTGCTGTCGTCATACCGTTGCCATGCGTTTCTGTCTGCAGGATGGTGGGCCTGACGGGAGTGACGAGCAAGAGGAGGATCTGGCCGAGCCGGTGGACAATGCTGGCGCTGAGGAGGTCGGTGGCGGCCACATCAAGACATGTGTGTGTTCACTGCACCCACACATGTGCCCCTTACTCAGGACGACGGGCAAGAGGGGCCCATGGCGTCTGACGATGGCCAGGTCAGCAACAGACATACTGATGTGGTGTGGTGCTTTGATGGACGGCTCGTGTGTGTGGTGCATGGTGTGGCGGTTTGCAGGACACCCTGATTGGCGATGGCGACGGCGAGGCGGCCGGTGGGGGGCAGTCGATGGAACCTGACGGCGACGTAGGCATTGACTGCACTGCCCAATAGGGAGGGGCACACGGGTACGGTGTCCGCTGATTGCGTGTTTGTGTGTGCGAGCAGGACCATAGTGACGAGAGTGACGACCACCACATCTATCCCCACAAGGTCGGCACTGTGCGGTTCCGCATTCTGCCGGCCGACGAGGCCCCGGGCAACCAGCCCTACGACACAGACGACCCGGCCATCGAGGAGGACGGCTGTCGGATCCGCTACTCGTCATTCTCGGCCTTCATGACGGACAACCTCATGTGCTACTGGTCCGTGAACATCGGAGCGGGCGACAAGATCGTTCTGAAGGCGTCAGTCCCACACGCTGATGCCCGCTTTCGGTCCCTCATGGCCACAGAGGCCGTGGGCGACTGCATCGTGGAGGACATGCATGTTGAGGATGGACATGGGGGACGCACCGTGGTGCTGTGTGGCCACCGGTCGAATGAGACCGTCGCTGCGCACCTGCGGCTTACGCGTTTTGGATACATACGTATCCACACGACGGAGGGGCGTGTGGGTGGCGGTGTGTCTGTGGATGAGTGCTATCCCATTACCGTCCGCCATGCCCGTGATGTGCTCAGACAAGTGAGACTAGAGAGGGATGTGGTAGACCAGGGCATGCGCATGGATGGCCAGTAGCTAGCTCAGACCAGCCGGTGTTTCTGTGCAGACCGACTGCATGTGTGACACGACTCATTGGATTGCATGATATCCGCGAGTGTAGTGCTTGAATGCCATTGAGTCGACAGAGTCATGCGATTACAAAGTGAAACACGCACAGCCCAGGCAACAGTGCACAGCATTTCGAAGGTCAGCTAGCGGGGTGTGGTGAAGAGCCCCTTGAGCATCGGCGGCTTCTTCACGTTGGCTATATTGGTCAGACCGGGATGTACCCTCCCTGCACACATCCATCCATCCATGCATCCATACTCAACAGCCCACTCTACTCACCTGCAGCAGCGACTGCTTGTTCCTCTTCCTGCGACACGTGCTGTGTGGTGGGTCCCGGGCTTTCGCTGCTGATTGAGCTGTCGACGGGGTCGCGTCGCATGGCCTCGTCCGTCTCGAAGTTGTAGTGGAATGGGATGCCGCGGATGTCATAGAAGGTGTGCCAGGCCGGCCCGCGCCACAGCAGCGTCACGTCGGCGTCGCGCCGGCTGCTGTCGAGCAGGGGGCCCTTCTTGCTGTAGGTGATGCGACGGGGCCTCAGGTCCAGGTGGGGCGGCAGCTCCTGCACAGAGACAGACAGACAGACAGAGAGAGACATGGATGCACCTCACTGTGTTGTAGGGGTCAAGTCATGTGTGTCATACCTACCTTCACGTGTATCATTGCGTAGCAACGATGGCAGAAGTTCTCTGCATGTGTGACACACACAGAAGAGCCTCCGTCAGGGACATCAGGCACGCGCACCTTCCTCTTATAAGTGAGTGTCTATGTGTTTCAACGATCGCCCGACTGACCAAAAGTATAAGTGCATTGGAGTTTGGCCGGGAGAGTGAGGCACCTCGAGCAGGGGATCAGCCGGACAGGCCGATGGTTTCGCCGATCCCCTGACGGACAGACAGACAGACAGACAGACAGAAATCATTCAGGTCCCCCAGTGGACCGTCGCTACCTTTGCCGTGTATCTTAGTGAAGCACGCCTCGCAGAAAGAGTCATTGCAGCCTTATCATCAATCACACACCCATGGGTGCAATCCCATCAATCAATGTGCACAGTGCGGGTCATATGACTCACTGGTGCAGAATATGGTGGCGACTTTGCCTGTCGTCCCTGCCGCCACTGCATCCCCCTCAGCAGCTGGCTTCTCGAGCATCATGGGCCCGCCCGCTGCCGTGTTGTCCGCCGATGCATGGGGTGCGCACTCGACACACATCATCTGACCGCTAGCGAGGTCTGCGCTGGCCACAAAAAGGGGAGGAAAGGGGATGAGGGGTCCAGAGACATGAGGAAGGAGACACGTGCTGCTCTCATTCACGTGATGCGCTTACCGTCTATGTTGGGTTCCTCGGTCTTGCCCGCCAGGAGGTCCTGTCAATCAACCGAGGGAAGGAACCGAGTGTGCGAAGCTAGCACTGGTGAAATGAGCAAGCGGATATGTGATGAGCGTACGTGTATCTCATCTGCCTTGTCCCGCTCGATGCTGCGGCCACAAGCACACACACAGACACACGGAAACGGTTATTGCCGTGCGGATGTGCGAGTGTCTCTCTGAGTGTCTGCCTCACTGACTCTTTCACTCACTCAATGGCCTCGAGCAGCTGCACGACGTCCTGCTCCTCCACCTGCTGATAACTGAGGCGTGGACACAACACACGGTAAGCCAGCCAAGCCAACGATATGTGTCTCTCTGCTGTGTGTGTCATGCGCGCGGGCACCCCACTCATCCATCCGCTCGCTGGCTCACTGTCTGTATTGGTGTGCGAAGTGCTTCAGGTAGGTCTTGAGTGTCCGACACACATATGGCTCCTGAAGTGCACACAGACATCGGCATACACGCAGAAAGGAGGTCGGTGCGTCCGTCCGTTTATTTGTTCGCGTTGGCAAGTGACCCACCCCACCTGGACAAGGTCGATTGAGAGTATTTCGGCAAAGCTCAGCAGCCATTGCGGGGACAACTGTGCAGGACCACACACACAGTAGAAGAGGCCCTTACACGTACAGGCATCCATCCCATCAATGTGTGGCCACCAGTGGGTGCTGCAACGAGCTGATGGACATCGACTCGGCCTCAAAGCTGGTCGGTCCATCAATCGACACACATGCAGCAGTGGCAGTAAGTTAGTTAAGTCGTGCAGATCAGATCTCTATGCACCGCTGACCTACCCACCTCCACAGCATTCGTGTGATGCGCAGCTTCAGGTGCTCCTCGTGGGTGGCGTGCCTGCAGTGCTCCAGCAGCGACTTGAAGTAGTCGAAGAAGGGATGCTTCCACGTCGTCTGGTTTGTCTCGTTGTTCAGGTAACACACCTATACACACACAGACTTACTTGTGGGTGTCTGTCTGTTTGTCTGTGGCTCTTGGTGGATGGGTGCCTCTGTTTGTTGGTTGGATGGCTTACGATGCTGCCCACTCCCTTGTATGAAGTCCATGGTGGGGGCAGCTCCATGCTGGCGAAACTCTCAACCACCTGATCGGTCATGGTGTGGTGTGTGTCTCTGTCCCACGACTGACGACTGCCCGTTTGACTGACCCATTTGAATGGTGCGTCGGCCTCGTCCAGGTCGGCCTCTATGTACAGTGCCCACTCCTCGATCGTCGGGCGGTTGCCCAGACAACGCAGCACAGGCTGAGTGGACGCTGAATGAGTGAGTGAGTGAGGGGACACACACACACACACACACACAGAGAGAGAGAGAGAGAGAGGGGAGACAGACGGACGACGCTAAGTGCATACGGATGGTCCCCCTTTTCTTGCTTTGTTCCCTCGCCCTTTTTGAGTGTGTTTTGTGTGGTAGGGTCGGAGAGGCCCATCAGGTAGAAGGGGTCGCCATCCAGCTCGTCCAAAGCCTGCTCACAGACAGACAGACAGACAGAGACAGACACACACACAGGGAGACAGACACTGTGACACTCTGCTCACGGAGATGCCCACTCTTCGGCCATCTGCTTACACCCTCAGTGAGCAGCTTCTTCCTTTCCAGCAGCCGCAACGTCTTTGACCAAAGCTCGTCGACATTGCTCGTCCACCCCTAGAAAGCCACGCAACACCACAGCGAAAAAAACATTAACTGCGGTGTACGCTTTTTCTTCTTTGTGTCGTGCTGCCTTCGACTTCGATGATATTTTCCGGCGTCTCAAAAGCTGTGCGGAACTCAGGAGCCCCCTCACCTATATCCAACCAAACACAGGAGAGATGGACGCACGTGAGAGAGGGGGATACAAGATCGCATCCCCAGACCCGCTGCCGCGCGTGTGCTTCATGTATGGCCTCCTCACCAGGTCTGATCTCCATGTACACGTATGTCTTATCGACAGGGTAGGAGGACAGGAATCCCACAGGAATGAGCCCCTCCGTCATGCCAACACGAGCGGCATCCTCGCTGGGAAACTGAAATCGATACGCCGGATTCTCCGTCTGATGCGTGGAAGAAGGCACCGACGCACAAACCAGCACCAAGCACAATGGCCCTCATCGCCCCACACTCCTGCAGTGGTTGTGCTGTGCTTACATCGTGTATGCGTCCGAACTGGACGACCTTGTGTCTGGGGCCTTTGCTTGGACTCGGTGACCGGCCGGCCGCCTTGGTTGAGGTGCCTGCTGCCTTCGAGGGACGTCCCTTGCGCAGCATACCGTTCAACAGTTTCGCGCAAGACTGGGGGCGGTTGGGGGCGTCCCCGTCTCGAAGTGGATTGAATCCTCAGCAGGGCGGCAAGCGAAAATGGCAACGCCGGAGTGCAGGTAAGACACCGGGACGAAAGAAGACAGTGGCTGTAAAGTGTGTGCCGGTTCTCTCAGGAAGTGTGGGATGGTGTTTGCGGGTGCCGCCGAGCTGTCGAACCATGACCAGAACTTCTGCGTCGATGCGCCTGGACGGAAAGAGGAAGCTGACACGCTCTCGCCAGAGGACCGAGAAAAGGCCTTCCAGCAGCTCAAGTGCGGACGAAATTGTAACACACTCAGTCTGATCAAGCTTCATATCCCGTCTTGCATGGCAGGGCCTACATTGCCAGTAGGGGGCCACGGGATGACCCGAAGAGCAAGCCAACGCTGGCAACCACGGTACAACAAAGGGCATCGGTCACGTTCAATTTGTGTGAGTGTTGTTTTAACTGCAGCCCTTGGAGGAGATTGGCAAGAGGTTCAACTTGCTGCGGCCGCTAGTGCGGGACTCGGACGATGCCAACGACAGGCTCATGCAAGCAAGGTGTGGCCGACGGGTGGAAAACACGAAGAGAGGAGGCCGGAGGGGCCATTGTTGAGTGTGGCGCTTTGTGTGGACTTCAGGTCTCATGAGCTGGCGGCAAAGGTCGCGGAGGCGCGGAGTGAGCGCCAGGTGCTGGCAGAAGAGAATGCCAAGGTCAAGCTAGGTCAGACACAGCACACGACGCATGCAGCCCCAGATGACACACCCAACCATGACGCCCCTCCGCTTGTCTGTCCGTCTGAACGTGTCTGTGTCCAGTTGGACGAGGAGCTCAAGGCCACTGTGCAGCAGATGCGGCAAAAGAAGGTCGGAGGGCCGCAGGGATCATCCGCCACACACATACTTTGGTGTGGTTTGGGTGTATGGTGCACGGATCTCGATCCATCATGATAACAGAGAGAGGCGGTGGACGTGCAGATGGAAAAGGAGAAACTCGAGAAAGAGCTGCAGGCACGTGACACCTAACGACACATGAGCCAGCACACAAACGACGCCAACGGACGGATGGCTGGTTGAATCGATTTGTCTGTCTATGGGTGGTCAGCACTTGGACCAGGGCCGCCTCGCCGCGCTCACCGAAGAGGGGCGGCAGCAAGTCCAGGTGAGCAATTGGTTGAGAGAATACCATAGCGGAAACATCCATCGATTGGCCGGTCCACTGCTGCCTTTCCTCCTTCCTGTCTGCCCCACACATACAGTCCCTGCAGCTAGAGCTGAGAAAGCTCAGAAGACAGGTGACATCAAAGCAGAAACAGGAGACTACATACACGCCCATTCCCTCCCTCCCTCCCTCCCTCCCTCCCTCCCGGTGTGTGTTGTCAGGATGAGCGTCTGGCATCGCAGATCGAGGCCGCCAAGGACCAGATACTGCACAGGAGACAACAGTCAGTCATTCAGCCAGGCCAGGCAACACATCGATCGCATCTACCATACCAATGGGGTCCATCGATCCGTCCGTCCACCCATGGATGGATGGATGGATGGCTACATGGGTGCGTGGCTGTCTGCAGGTATGAGAAGGGCAAGGAGAGGGGGTCTCAGTCGGCGCGGCTGCCCCCCACCAACCCCTTCGCCGTCGAGCAGCTCCTCAGCCTCGCCAAGCGACAGGCGGTACGTATGTCTGTCTGTATGTGTGTCTGTGATATGACACAGAGACGAGAGACGCCTACACCCGACACACACACACACACACACAGAGAGAGAGAGAGAGGACTGCAATGCGGCTCTCTATCATTCATCCATTCATTCAGGCGGAGGAATCGGAGCTGGTGGCGAAGCATCGCAAGTGAGCATCCATCCATCCATCCATCAAGACACGCCTGTTTGTTCTCCTGCAACTCAACTCACTGACTGCCGTTGTAATCAATCAATCGTCAGATTGCATGAGGAGAGGACAAAGCTCGAGTCGGACTGGCACGCCCTGCAGGGCCGCAAAGAAACCACTCACACAGACGCAGAGACCCCTCCGCTACACAACGAGTTCTCCCCTGACGCACTTGGTAGGTACACACACATATACAGGGGGTGGGGTGCTGCATCCACCTTGCAGCATACACACACGAGATGCGATGCCTGCAGCTGAGTTCGTCAAGGGTGTGGAGCAGAACCTCGATGCCGACAGGGTGGGTGGGGTGCCTGGGCACATCCATCCATCCCTATGTCGCTTGTCGGTCTATGGCCTGTCTTCTGCTCTGCTGCTGCCGTGCGCTCTCTCCTCATGCAGGAGCACCTCCGTGTGCTGCAAGAGTCCTACCAGGAGACCATCCAACACGCCAAGGCAATCGAAGCACACCCAACGGCAGCCGCCGCCACGCAGCCACCAGGTCAGCAAAAGGCCAGCAACTATCCACCCGATACCGGGCAGCCCACTCTTGCCCGCATCTCATTGTCAGGCGCTGAGGACGATGCCCATCAAGAGGAGCTGCCTTCGAGCATCCAGCGTATTGCTGACAATGTCGCACACACGCTCGATAGGTCAGCAGCTACACACACGCACACACACAGAGAGAGCGAGAGACGGAGCCGCACGCAAAGCTGCCCACACGGCAGGTCCCCCGAGGCGGCCCCGCACCTCACATCCGCTGTGCAGCAGGCACTGAGGTGAACGAACGGCTGTATGAGACACATGCATATGACACGCCAGCAGCCTGGCTGCATGTGCAGGTCAGCCTTCGCGTGTGAGGAGGATTCGGCCCTTTCCCCCGCCCAGCCACAGCAGGGCCCCGACACGGACGGGTCAGCTCAATCCATCACACACAACGACAGACATGTCTGTCTGTCTTTGCCACTACATCTCTCTGTCTGCACCCTTGATGAATCTGTACCTATATCATCAGAGCGGTGCTCCGTCAGCGCAGCACTTTCGTGGACGCCGCGCCGTCCAGTGCTCGTAGCGTGGCTGGAGACAGCTCTTTGAGAGGCAAGACGCCCGGGTTTGGGGGCGAGTCCGCCTCAGACATACACCGGGATGATCGGCCGCCATCGCAGGCGTCACACAACAGCAGCGATATCGTGGAGCGATACATCAAGTGACCACCTGCCCCTGGAGAAAGAATGAGACATATGGAAACATAGATGTCTGTTTGTTGTTTGTAGGGAGGGTGGTTGTGACCCGGCTGTGTTGCAGCACCTGATCGGCCTCCGGGACTCCCCAGGCAAACCCCTCTCTCTCCCCCCAGCCCCAGCCCAACCAGCGGCACCAGCACAACCACCAGCAGCGGGTGTGTCGCCTTTGTCTGCGGCCGAGGAGGACATATTGCGTCGTCAGCAGCATGAGGCACTGCAGCTGCAGCAAAGGCTCCACGCCATGCAGAGCGAGATGCGCACACTCGACGCGCACGCCTACTCACCTCCCGCCCCTCGCACACCCCCGCCATGGTGGGCCGGGGGGGCGCTGCCGCCGTACCCCTACCCTCCGCCAGTGGCTTTCCCGGCTGATGCCACACCTCCACCCGCACAGGCACCTGCCGCCCCCGCCACGCGTGGGCATGCTGAGACGCGTTGAATAGTGATTGATGTGCGATTGTCTGTCTGTCTGTCTGTCGTGAGCGTGCAGGTGAGGAGAAGGCCAAAGCAGAGCAGGCGGAGACGGGGGCGAGCGGTACTGGTAGTGGTGGTGGTGGTGATGACAGCGGTACGGCGATGCTGCGTCAGCTGGTGGAGCAGGAGCGGATGCAGCTGGAGGCGCTGATGCGCCTGCCGCCCGACTCTGACCTCTACGCCCTCAGACACAAACACTTCCAGGAGATGACCGGTCTTAGATGTGAAATCGAAAAGACCCTACAGGAAAAGACACTGGAAGAGGTACGTACCAATGTCATGACCAGAGCAGAATGTGTGTGTGTGTGTGTGTGTGTGTCAGCTGCGTTTGGACCGTGACAGGGCCATTGAGGCGCGTCGTCGTCAGGAGAGGGAGGAGGCGTGGCTGGAAGAGCAGAAGAGGACACTCATCGAGCTTGAGGTCAAGAAGCGACTCGCAAGGGAGGGCGAACGGCCCGCCACGCCTCCGCCAGAAGACCAGCCCTACGACCCCTCAAAGGGATTCTACATCTACTGGGACTTCATCGAAGCGCTCCCACTCAGGCAATCCATCCATCCATCCATCCACTCGCAGTGTGATGACGATGCTGTGTCTCCCTCCCTCTCTCCCTCCTTCTGTGCGCAGGTTCAATCGGTGCCGAATCGCCTACGCCTTCTATGACGGCCCCTCAGCTCTCTCGAGCGTCAAGGCCACCCACACCGAGACCGCCCTCAGCATCGGCTCGGCACTCAGAGTCACATTCGCCTCCTCCCGCCTCCTCACCCTCCTTCCCGGCGCACCTAACGCGCGCCTCGTCCTGGAGGTCCAGTTCGAGCCGCAGACTGCCAAAGACACATCGGAGACCAGCCCTCGAGACGAAAAGGACGATGCTGCGAACACCCCCACGGCCGCACAGGTGGTGCCAGTGGGGTGGACAGCCGTGGAAGTGTTTGATGGCGCCGGGCGGCTGCGGGCAGGGAGATACCAGTGCCCGGTCCTTCGGCCGCCTCCCCTGGTGGCGGCGCCGTCACCGGTCCTGGCGGGGGTGGAGCGGATCGCTGACGGCTGCCGGGTGTTCATGCGGATCGGGTATGTGGACCGGCACATCCAGGACACCCGCTGGAAGATCGACGCCACGGCATATATGCAGGCCACGGGCATGGCCCTCAACGACGAGTATGCCATCCCATCCATCCTACAGAACGGTCAAGAGGCCGATGAGGAGAGGGCGCGGCGACGGAAGATGGCGAAACGACAGGACAGGGCTGAGAGGGAGGAGAGGAGGCGGCAAAGGCAGCGACAGCCGCCCCAGCTACGGCGAGAGCGAGAGGCAGAGAGGGAGTCCTTCGACGACACCTCCCCACGGCACCAGCGGCAGCCGAAGCGGCAGCCGAGAGAGGAGCCAAAGCTCGGCATCGGCGTGCATGTCGTCTCACTGGAGGACCTGGCCCTCCCTCCCGACACCCTGGCCAAGCTCAGCCCATCTGCCGTGCCTCCCTCGCCCAGTGAGGTGTTGATGCAGGTGCTCTGCGGCCTCTACAGCCACGCAGACGGCAGTCTGCTCAAACATGAGACGGAGCAAGCTGAGCTGTGGCCAGCGTCTTTTGCAACGAAGCCGCAGAGGAGCAATGCTCAAGCGATCAAACAAGGCGGCGAAGACAAGAAGAGAGACGGCGCCAAGGAAGCTGAGAGGCCGATGAGCGTCACCTATAGAGACGGCCGGGTGTTCCACAGCCCCAAGACGCCCCCCGACAGAGCACCAGGAGACCGCCGGCTGTCTGAACGGTCGCTGGCGTCCTCATCTCTGGTGGATGACAACTCTGAGTCTGTAGACACCGAGGAGGACGCCAATGCAGTCATGGACAGCGAGCGGGACAGGAGGAGCAACGAGAGTGGGGCCTCCTCTGACAGGCGGCAGAGGCGCTCCTCAAAAGTACCGGCGGTCGATGGCCTGTGGTGGCCTGAGTGTGTGTGGGTGGTCCTCAAGGTCATCGCCCGTGTCTCGGATGAGCAGCACACGCTTAGGTCCACCCCACCCTCTTCTGCGGAGCAGTGTGTCGTTGCGTGGACAGCTGCATGGTGAGACACAGCGAGAGATATAGAGAGAGACTCTGCCAACCATAGATCTCCTCCCTCACATGTCTGTCTCCTCGATTGTCTGTTTGTTTGTCTGTCAGTGTTCCCCGTGTGGCCAGCCTGACTCGGCAGGACCTGTCGCTGCCCCTCTTCTGGCCGCCCGCCCAGTACCCCCCCTACCCGCCCCAGGGCCCCACCGACGCCATGGCTTTCCCCCTGCAGACCATCGACCAGTTCCTAGCCATCGATGGCAGCACGCTCAAAGTCATCCTGTACCACCCCTCGCTGCACCAGCACATACACGGGGAGGCTGAGGCGGCCATGGCCAAGGAGACGCCCCTCGAGCGGCCGCTGAGTCCTGTGAGTGAGGAGAAGGAGAGGGAGTCAGAGAAAGAGCTGCAGCTGTTTGTGGCGCATGAGGCGGTCCCCAATGACGAGGTGACAAACAAGGGCACAGGGAGACGACACAAAGAGCGTGTAGACTATCTATCTGTGTGACGATGGGATGGGATGTCTTCAGCTGTATGATCCCGAGACGGACGGCTTCGACATCTACATGGATCAGGTAGGTTGGTTGAGAGGAATTGTTTTCATCGCTCTGGTGATAGTTGGTGTCTGTCTCGCCCTCTCCGCCATCCGTCTTCTGCTCATCGCCGGCCTCCTGTCGCGATCTACATGGATCAGATCCGTTTCCCCCCTGAAGCGGCCCTTGCATGCCGCGTGGTCCTGCGGGTGATATCCTCCTCCTTCTCGCCCATCCTTGATGCCATGGGCGGAATCTCCTCCCTCTCCTCACACCGCATCATCCACCGGCTCGACCCGCCTCTCTACATGGACTACAGAAAGGGCCCCATCGACCCCACAGCACTTCTCATGATCCGTGTCGACTGTCTGGACCGCTTCCTCATCCATGACGCCCTGCGCAAGACGGAGGGGGAGGGGCACACGAATGTGTCGCCCTTTGTGGCGGTCAACAGCGAGGCGGAGAGGGAGGAGGAGAGGGATGTGGAGGGGCCGGGAGCGCCCTGCCGCTTCACCTGGGGGTTTGCCGTCTTGCCACTGTTCGTCAAGCAGCGTGCGAGCGGCGGGGGGCAGCCTGACCACCCTACGGAGCAGTCCTTCTGTCTGAACGAGGGAGCCTTCCAGCTGGGGCTGTCTCTTTCGCCTTATCCCAAGTATTCACCCGAGCACCGATCCGTTAACGCAACATCGCTCGACGACAAGCCGAAGGTCAGGCTCACGGAGGGGCCCATCCCTTCCTTGATCCCTCTATCCGTCTGCCTCTGTGATCAGGTGCCCTGCGCGTCCGTCCTCATTCGTGTGGTCTCTGCGCCCAAGTCACCGGACGGCCTCAAGCTCTACCGCCGCAGCAATGTCGACCCATCCGAGTGGCCCCACATGGGCCTGCAGGCCGACCCCCCTCAATACGAGGACGCCGTGTACGACACCACACGCTTCGTTCCCTCACCAGACGAGCACAAACTCTTCGACAAGTACACTCCTCTACTGAGAGAGCTGGAAGCGCATCAACAAGAACAAGACCACGATGAGGGAGATGACGATCCGCAGGGAGTCCCGGCAGACAACGAACAGCCGATGAGTGAGGCCGATGCGGGCGGGGGCGAGGATGCTGCTGCGTCAAGCTCTAGTGCTCGGTCTGAAGACCAGATGGAGGGTGAGGGTGACAAGTGGAGCGTGGAGAGCGGCTCGCAGGGTGCGGCCGGTGAGCCCCAGGGGCGGCAGCGGCCAGCTGAGCCCATGAAGCACATGACTCTTCTCGACGAGCTGCTGAGGCTGAGGCGCCGCTTCCCTCGCGAGACGGGCACCATCTCCAGCCCCAACAGACAGGCGGCCATGAGTGAGCGAGCCCTCAAGCACTGGCTCAGGTCAGCCAGCCACACATATAAGGCAGGGACAGCCCCAGTGACCGGGCGTCATGTCATCTATTGCAGGGTTCAGTTCGGTTCGCCCAATCTGCAGGAGATGCGTCTGCTCAATGACCAGCACGTCCTGCCATACGACAAGACTGTGGGCTTCAGGGTCAACATCGACTGTGTGCACGGCTTCCGCAAAGACGCACCCCTAGTCGTGCTCCACTCCCTGTTCCCACCTGGAGGCCTCTATGAGGTGGGGATGGCTGGCGTGGCGGGGTGCCAGACGGTGGGGTGGATGACAGAGGGTCGCTTGTTGTAAGTGTGTCTGTGTGTGTGCAGGAGACGCCGCTGCTGGAGGACACGCACTTTACGACTCGCCGGGACTTCTCGTTCTCGATCAGGTCGCCGCGATTCGTCACACAGTGGACCAAATACAAACCATCCAAGTAAGTAACTGGCTGACGACAGACCGACCAACAAGAAGAATGTGGCAGGGCAGGCACGTGTGTGTGTGTGTGTGTGTGTGTGCGTGTGATGCGCATCACACATAGGATGTCCCGGTACTCGACTTTGATAGTGGATGTGCGGTGGCTGAACGTGAAGGCGAGCCGGTCTGAGGGTCTCTTCCCGTGGGGGTGGTTCGTCATCCCCCTCTTCGACAACCACGGCTTCCTCATGAGCAACTGCTACCAAGTGCCGCTGTTTCAGGCACGCACAAGAGACACAGCACAGTGCTGTCAGACAGGATCCTATCTATGAGTCTACCTACCCTCATCAGGGCGCCGTGTCTCAAGACGCCTTGAGCGAGCTGAAAGAGACCATGATCAAGCACGAGCAGCTGCAGCAGCAGCAGCCGCAGCCCTCCGCCCCCACATCGACCGCCCAGCTGCCATCGATCCGCAAGTTGATGGACAAGTGGCTGCAGTACAACTGGGCGGACGAGAGGAAAGTCGCCAAGTGGGACAAATGGTCGTCCGTCTTCGTGCGCCTCGTCGACGGACAGCTGGAGCACGACAGACGCTACTCGCGGCCTGGATACCAGCTGATGGCTGAGAGGCTCGATCGGTCCTTCCTGCCGTATGGCCGGAGCGGGAGCTATGCCTATGACGCTAAGAAGATACCCAAGAGGACGCTGAATCTGGTGACACTGAAGGGAGGTTGTCTCATGCATGTGAGTGTGTCATTCCATTCACGGGTACGTCTCTGTGTGTGCAGCTGACGCCCCGAGGCGAGACGAATGAGGAGTACGAGCGGAGAATGAACGAGCAGACGCAGAAGGCCACAGGCATCACCAGATACGCTTTCTGATCGGCCCAGCTGCAAGCTTTGTGTTGCGTCATGGAGCCTCTCAGTGCGGTGTGTGTCGTGTGGTTTTCATGTGGGTTCCATGTTTCTTGGATGCACCCGACACGTGGATGTGATGTCTGCACGCTCTATCGGTCAATAAATGCATTCCTTGGAGAGAGAGAGAGAGAGAGGGGGGTACGTTCCCTCACACGCAGATCTTCTTGCGGCGCATCTCCGCCAAATATTTCTCGGGCACAGCGAGCTTCTTCAGGTCTTCGACCTTCCTCTCCTGATTGAGATTGATGCGTGCACACACACACAGACACACACACACACAACACAACACAACACAACACACGTGTGTGTCCATGGGGTGTGCCAAGAAAGCATTCCATTCCCCGCACACGTGGTGGGCTGGCTGACTGACCTTGATGCGCTCCAGTTTCTTCCTCTGCTTGGCAAGCTGTGCACGCACCAAGTTGCCCTCCTCAAGGAAATTGCTGGCCACACAAACACACAGACAGACAGGAAGATGTCTCTCTCGAGCCTGCCCTCGCATGGCAGGTGCTTCTTCTGTCTGACCGTCTGTCTTGTAGGTTCTTTTCCTCCTTGGCGGCGATCTGCCCCCTGATGTCCTGCGCGTGGGCCACACGCAGCCGCCGCTCCTCCTTAAGGCGGCGGCGCTCGGCCTCCTCCTGCAGTGCAGTGCAGATCACCACAACGCCGCCCGCTCCTGCGGTGTCTCTTTCTGCATGTCTCTCTTGGTCTGTTGTGAACTGATGTGTGTTTGTGTTTGTGTGTGCCTGCTGTTTCTGGACGGCAATGATGCGTTCGAATTCCTCCTTCTCGCCCTTGGCCTGCTCCATCAGCTTACGCTCCTTCTCATCCTGAATGCAGCCATGCATCCATCGATCCATCCACCAGCCAGACAGACAGACGGACGGACACATTAGGAGGGTGTGATGTGGCGCGTGATTGCCCGACCGACTGACTGACCTGCTGTGCCTTGCGTGCTTCCGAGACCTCGGCGTTGATGCGAGCGATCTTGGCCGCCTCCTGCTGGTCCTTGTCGCGAGCTGCACGGTCCGCCGCCTCCATCGCCCTACATCGATAGCATCCACCCACCACACCAGGGATGGGCGTGTGCATTTGTGTGTCTGTGCAGTCCATGGACACCTCTTGGCCCGCAGTGCATCCATTTCTGCGGCCTTGTCCTGAGCCTTCTCCTGTAGGGCGCGCAGGCGAGCGACCTCCCGTTCCTTCTCGGCGGCGATGCGCATCAGCTCCGCCTCACGCTCGCGCTCACGCTTGTCCTTGTCACGCAAGTAGTCGACAATCCTTGAAACAAGAGACACACAGACGGACCGTGGTGCGGCGTGGTGTGGTGTGGTGGGAGGGGCTGCTGTGTGTCTGTCTGTCTGTCTGTCTGTCACTTTTGCTGCTCCAGCTGCTCTGCGAGGGCGCGCTCCTCCTTGACTGACACCCAGCACAGAAAGGTGATAGTTGTGGACGCATCATTAGGTGAGTTAGTCACCCCACCTTTGAAAGCTTCAGCGTTGACTTCGTTGACTTCCTCCCTGAGTCTGCGTGCGGCCTCCTCCTTAGCCAGCCGCTCCTTGACCTCCTCCTCCTTGAGCGCGTCGATCTGACGCAACACGTAGTACTTCTCCTGCTCACGCAACTCCTCGTCACGGATCCGTTGGGCCTGCATACATCGAATCGGTCAAGGCCACGCACACGCATGGAGACAGAGAGAGAGAGAAAAATGGCGGCCGATTTGTGACGTACCTGTCTGTCTTTGATTTGTTCGACGATGACGAGTGCGCCCCTCCTTTGGTCCTCAGCGCGTTTCTTCTCTCGCTCCTCTGCGACCTTGAGTGCCTTGAGTCGCTCGATCTCCATCATCAGGTCCAGCTGGCGCTCCTCGTCCTCCTTCTCACGCAGGATCTCCCTGAACAAGTGTCTCTCTCTCTTCATCTGCTCTCTCCCCCTCCCCGGTGTCTGTGCAGATGTGTCTCTTACTTTCGTTCGGCGATCTGCGCCTCTCTGACTGTGGCGACTTTGGCGTAAAGCGTCATTTGGTTGAGGTGCTTGACTTCGTCCTCCTGCTCGTCAAGCAACTCCTCGGCCTACACAGCGCAACACAACGCAACACAACACAGGATAACGGGCAACGTGTTGCAGAGAAGAACACTCTTGACGACTGACTGACTGACTGGCTGACCCGCTGGAGGACGCTGTTCTTGTGTGTGTGCTCTTCCTTCTCGGCTTCGGTGAGGGGCGCATTCCGGCGGCGCTCCTCCTCCATCGCCAAAATGCGGTCCTTGCGGGCCTGTGGAAAGCGAGATGTGGAGCAGGATCGACCTCCTGGTGGATGGCTGAATGTCTGGCTTTTGCTGCCTTGCCTTCGACTTGGCCATTCGCTCCTCGATCTCCATTTGCTGCCTCCGCTTGACCTCATCCTCCTCCTCACGGGACAAAATGATGGAACGATTCTAAGTACACACAACAGACAGACACATCCACCCATCCTCCGTGCGTCCGTGTGTGTGTTGAGCGCACCTTGAGTCTGTCCAGTTCGGAGGCGCATATGACGGCGGGCGTGGCCTCTGCCTTCTGCTCTGCCCCCACAGCATTGCTCTTGCGCCGCAGCTGGACCGTGTCCTTGCCCACTATCTCGATGGTCTTGTCCGAGTCGCGCCGCCGGGGGCTGGGCGAACCGAAAAGCGTCTCGTCGACGTTTTGCTGCTGCGGGTGCGGCTGGGTGCCCTGCTGCTGTGCGGTGTGGAGCAGCTTGTAGTGGAGCGCTGATTGGTGCACATAGATGTGAACCAGACAGGCCAGCCACGTGATGAGCACCCATTTCTCTCTGCCTTGGCCGATTGGCCTTCCCCCTTGCCCACCCACCTTTGGCACTGCCCGTGGAGCCGACCGAGACCACTGACTGCGCCTGATGGTAGACAGACACAATCACACAAGCACAGGTGGAGCAGGGATGGCGTCGCGCCGAGGCCCCTCCTCTGGGGACCAGCTGCTCTCGTGGTCTTACCATTTCAGCTGTTTGCTTGTGGGCAGCGGAAGGGGGCGCCCCACTGCATGCGCGAGCTAAGCTCGCTGAGCGATCTGCAAATCGGCCATTCGTGTGTTAGCATGAGTGGCTGTTGACATCAAACAGATACATGTACACACAAGTCGGTAGCGCTTGCCATCAGCTGTACGGGGGCACCACTCAAGCAAAACCAACAAGCCATGCATCCAACCTCAACTCACACTGCCCCCTCGGGGCAGCCACACAGATGGCACTGCATGCGCAGGCTGTCGACGTCATTTAACTCAGTTTCTCATTTAAGAGAGAGGGCCGCTGAGCGTTTACCTGGAAGGACGGCCAGGATGCAGGGAACAGGTCGATCCATCGCAAAACCAATTGGACCATCCAAATCGAGTTTCGTAGCGATATTCCGATAATGGCGAGCAGATCTGCGGTGATAACGGTCGTGTTCGCTCACATTGCCCTCTGCGGCACGGCGGCGGGCGAAGCCATATACGATAACCAGGGCCTCGGTACGTTGGTGACAGAAACGGGGGGGGAAAGGGCAGCAGATCTACGTGCGGTGAGCGCCTCGTGTGTAGGGAACGGATATGCCGGGGCCTGCGAGGGGAAGAAGTGCGCCATCGGCGGAGAACTCAGCGTCAAGTAAGAGAGGAAGGATGCCAGTGGATGGCTGGAACAGGTGCACAGATCCCTCGGTGGATGGCGTATGTGCGCTTGCAGGGAGGGGCCTGAGATGGGATCCCTGTGCTACCTGCCATTGGGCAAGCAGGCCAAGGCGTACAAGAATGAGGACGGGATGGACCTCGAATTCGGCGCTGAAGTCTTGTGTTCTTACTCACAGTACAGGTTCTCGGACTTCCCCAAAGAAGGCCGGCCGGCCTGTGTCTTCTACAGCACGACGACCGGCGACCAGCACGTGATCGTAAGTAACCAAAACAAAAGACCAGTGGTTCATTCAACGTGTGAAAGCGTTTGTGTCTTCCCGAGGTCCGGATGCAAATGCAGGTTGGCACGAAGATGATTTTTATGAAGGACGCTGAGAAGCTGGACTACCCCGAGTGCGGTTTCCAACTCTGAGCTGGTACGTCAACAACACACGGAAACGTGTATGTATGTGTATGTAATGTATGTTTTCCCCTACCCCCATTCCGTGCAGCCAAGGCATCACACCACGGCAAATCAGGCGGCAGCAAATAGCTAGCTATCTGCAGCAGCATTATACATTTTCTTTCTCTGGACAGGACATGACATACATACACACACACACACGAGGTTCCTCACACGCACACACACCGAGGGTTTTGGTCGCTGTTTGCAGTGTGTTTGCGTGTGGTTTGAGTACCTTGATCGGCTGGCTGCCTGTGTGCGTGTGCGTGTGCGTGTATGTGCAGTGGCCTGTGTGTGAGTGTGTCTGAAATAAATGGGCGCGCGGGGTAGTCAATTAATCAAACAGAGGTCGGCTGGCTGGCTGTCTGTCTGACTGCGATGGCCTGGACTGGCTGACTGCATGGATGCCGCTGATATTTGCATTGGCCGTCTGATGGACAAACACGACACACGACCTTTTTTCTCCGTTAACTTTACCCCCTCCAGACCAACAGCACAGCTCGCACATTCAGAAGGTTTACTTGTCGTCATGCCCCGCCTTTCGCAGCTTCTGAACATACAGGCAGGCACACACACACAGGCCGACGCAGAATGAATGGATCGTCCGTACATGATCTGTCGCGAAGGGCCGAGCCTGAGCCTGTGTCTGTGTGTTGTGTCTGTGTGTGTGTGCATCGTATGGATCCCACCTTGCACCCCCACTCACCCCTGCACTCACTCGGTTGTCTCTCCCTCTCTCTCTTGGCAATGCCGTGGATGGACGAGTATTGACTGTAGACCTTTACCGTAACCGATTCTGTGAGATGCCAACACCCACCGCCTTGCCATTCGTCCTTTCCACTAGGTTGCACCTTTCACCACTTCAACGCACTCACCCCATCGATTCCCCCCCTGCCGCATACCCACTTCTCACACACGCAAGGCCAGCCCCTCAACCGCCGCACACAGACAGCCCACCACATCAACAGTCATTCCCCGGCCTCCCAGCCTCAGGCGACGGACACTCATTAGTCGACTTTTGTGTGCCTGCCGCAGGACATTCACACCCGGACATTCACACAAGGCCGTTCGCTCAAACCGCCGCACACAGACAGCCCACCACATCAACAGTCATTCCCCGGCCTCCCAGCCTCAGGCGACGGACACTCATTAGTCTCTCTCTTTGTGTGTGAATGTCTGGGTGTGCCTGCCGCCCACTGCTGCACACGCGCATGAATTCACCCATTTCGCAAACCCCACGCATCAATCAGCAGTGCTCAGATGAGCATAGCAGCAACCTTCACGGGCACCTGCAATGGGAAAAAACCTCCCCGGCCCACCGGTCTATCGTCTGCAGGGTTCCAAACCCTGCAAGCTTAGACGTGCAGCGGGAAAGGAAAGGCATGCACACGAATGAATGGGACAATGTGCGCATTATGACTATATTCTAGATCTGTCGAAATCTATGTCGCCAGGACGTTCTTCGTGCAGGCCGCTGCCCGCTGCTCTGTCCTCTTTTTTCCCCATCTGCCCTCCGCCCTCGTTCACGCGAGTCGTGCAGCTGCGAAGAGCCGCCCACCGCCTGCGGGATCTATCTCTCCCGTCACACTGCCGCCCTTATGTCAGCAGCGCACGGGTGGCACATTCACCAGCTGCTGCTGGCCAACCGTCAAAGATCTCAGCAGTAGCACCACCGGGAGCAGCATCAATGGTCCAAGCCTCTCCACCGCAGATGGAGGAGGGGCTGTCTGCGTCTGTGTCTGTGAGTGATGCTGACGTGACCGCTCTTATGGGGCCTGCACAGATACCAGGCAAACCATACTTCGGTGAGTGACTGAGTGAGGGCGAGGGGGGGAAACGTGAGTACTCGAGGAAGTACACACACACGTGAGGCTGTTGTGATCTTGATTCAGATCTGGGCCCTTTCACTTATCGGCAGATCGGTAAGTAAGGGAGATGTGATGCCCTGCTGGCTAATCCCCTTGGTGTGCATGGCATGGTGTGTCCTGCCTGTCAGGTTCGACTGATGAGGGGGTGCGTCTGGATCGGTGGGTGCTGAAGCACGTCACTTCCAACTGGTCCGTCTGCAACAAGGTCATCCGCATACAGCAGGTCTTCGTTGTCCACAGCAACCAGTGAGTGAGTGACCACACAGCCACGCAGGCAGGCCTGCCTGCCTATACAGCACGGCACACCCATGTGCTGTGCGACCTCTGTCTGTCTGTCTGTCTGTCTGTCTGTCAGGCCACCCGAGGAGCACCAGAAGCAGGTCATGTACAAGGTAACTTTTAATGCACTCGCCTTGCCCCCTCACATGACATTCGTTGTGTCCCTCCCCCTCCCCCTCCCCCACGCTTCAGCGGTTCCGGCCTGTGCTAGGTCCCGGCCATCGTCTGCGCGAGGGCGACTGGGTGTACTGGCCACGTGTGCTGCAGCCGGTGCCCAAGCCGACCGTCGTCAGGGCCGCATTCGACGTGGCAAACACCGACCCAAGGGATTGGTCAGTCAGGCAGTCAGAGCAAGGGGTGGGGTGCATTGAATGCATTGAAGTGTGTGTGTATGTGCTCCTTTGTGTAGGATATTGTACAAGGATTCTGATTTCCTAGCTATCAACAAACCTTTCGGGCTGCTCACGACGGGCACCAAACACGTGGGATGGACGAATGAATGAATGCACAACGCGCATCCCTCCCTCTTGGACGGTGGATGTGATGTGGTGTGTTGTGGTGTGGTGTGTACCATCGGTTATTGCCTGCAGGACAAGGTCAGTGTCAAGCGCAACTTTCTGGAGCGCCTGCAGTTCTCAATGGACTATGTACGCAGTCATACAAGCCAACAGGCAGCATCAGAAAGAGACTCAGAGGCTTGCGCACACACACACACACGGACATGCCACATCATATCTTTGTGTCTGTGCCTGTGTGGGTGGGCTATGGTCATGGCTTGTGCCATGCAGCCTCCGCGATTGATCCACCGTCTTGCAGGGGATACCAGCGGCGTCTTGCTGCTCGCAAGGTGCCAGCCTAGCCCAGCCGTTGTGCACACATCACACGGGCGAACACGTCTGTGTGTGTGTGTGTGTGTGGCAGGACCAAGTCGTCCGCAGACATGGCCGTCGACCAGATACAAATGTAGGCGAGGCACGCTTGCAAGATGCCCCCACAAGGAATGCAATGCTGCTGCTCACCACATCTGGCTTCTTGCTGCGCTGCAGGCGGTGTTTCTGGCGCCGCACCTACTGGGCGGTGACTGCTGGCCGACCAAATGGGCAGCACGGAACAGTCAGAATCGCACTCGGCAAACAAGAGGTGCACATAGAGAAGCAATCAACGGCGCCTTGACACCGGTGGAATGGCATGTGTGTGTCCGTTAACAGGATGACGATGTGGTGGTGCCAATGACGACCATGGATGGCGGCATCGCCGCCGTGACGCAGTGGCGGCTGCTCAAGCACTCGTCTGCGTGCGGCGGCATGTCGCTCATGGAACTCAGCACCACATTCGGTAGGCATCCAACATGACCCACATGCTGGAGGGCCAACATGACCCACATGCTGGAGGGCAGGGCGTGGTCTCTCTGCTCGGTGAAGTGTATGTGTGTATATGTGTGTGTGTTCGGTTGAGCAGGTCTGCGGCACCAGATCCGGGCCCACTGTGCGTATGGCCTCCACTGCCCGCTCGTCGGCGACCCCCTGTACTTCAACCTCAGCAGCGAAGTACTCGCTGGCAGCAGACAGCACACCAGGATGGATGTCTGTGTGTGTGTGTGTGTGTTGGGTGTGTATGTGTGATATCAGTGGTGTGAGGCGACAGCGTACAAGAGTGCCTTCTACAGCGATGCGGCCAAGGATGAGCGGCGGCGTGTGCTGGGGCCCCACCCACCACTGCACCTGCACTCGAGAGCCATCACCTTCAACTCATTCGCAGGTAGGTGTCTGTGCCATGCTAGAGAGGTACAGAGATAGATGCACTTGCGCGAGCCACACCAGCCATCTGTCTGTGGGAATGTGTGGACTGTGTTGTGAATGAATTAAGGCGAGGAGGTTGAAGTGACGGCTCCCATGCCGCCACACATGGCACAGACGTTCGACAAACTTGGTAAGTACGTGGCGTGGATGTATTCACCCACCCCCACTCACGCCACACACACACACACACACACACACGCATACACAGGTGGGTCCCTCTGTCTGTCTGTCTGTCTGTCCACTTGAGGCTGGAGTGAGTACATCCACCAGCAGGACGACAGTGCTGCACGGTTCAACCCATGGCGCCCCCAGCAGGCAAGTTTGAACAAATCATGACCTTAAGTCGAGTCGCTACATACCCGTCCACTCTTGTCTCTTGCCTGCCTGCAGGACCCACACATGCTGGAGCTCTTGCTGGAGCGAGAGGCAGACAGAATCGCTACGCCCTATGACGCGCACACAGCAGTGCAGCAGCGGGGCGACGCACAAGATGCCGCTGCGGACGCGGCAGCGACAGATACAGAGGAGTGGGAAACAGGTATGCGAAAGACCCACACAGGACGGGTCACACAGACGGACAGACATGTCCTGTGCGTGTCTGTGTGGCTGCAGCACCAAGTGGCGACAGCGGGCCGGCAGCCGAAGATGTCAAGGACGACCAGCCGCTGACCAAAGCTGATATCGAGAAGCGGCGTGCAGCGGAAATGGACGCACTGCGGCAGACCAACTTCGTCGCCCGATATCACCGAGACCGCAAGAAGCACGCCCAGCAGCAGATGACCAACAGGCGACCGCCCCTCTCACCGAGCAGCGGCAGGCCACACCGCCATCCCGCCCCTTCTTCACAACTTGATCGCTCGAAGCAGGCGATACGGGATGACTTCATTCACCGCTTCATCAGCGGCAAGATGGCCACCTTGCCGCCCTTGTCGCCCGCCATGGTGCCGCAGACACACCGGCAAAAGAAGGAGGGCATCGTCGAGCAGCAGAGGAGTAGGCGGCAGAGCAAGAGGGAGCGGGAGAGGGAGGGGCAGATGCTGGCCTGGAGGGAGCAGGAGGAAGAGCACGACACAGATGGCGATGACGATGGGGTCTGGGGTGAGCAGCACACAGAGCTGGGCATGTACGGCAGAGATGAAGAATCGGACGACGACAACCACCAGCAGCCACAGACCAGCACCAACAGCACCACCAGCAGCAGCACCACTGAGGGCGTTGCGTATGACGACTTGAACAAGAGGGTGCGTGATAGGCTTCGCCGCAGTGTGTTCGACGGGTTGAAGGACAGATGGGAGATTGAGAGAAACAGGCAGGGGTCGGGCAGAGTGAATGAATGAATGGATGAGTGAATGGACGGATGAGACGTACGAATATCAGTACGGATGGACAGATAACTGCACTCATGTACGCCTGAATGCATGTCGTCTAGCTCAGCTGCTGGCATCCAGCAGATCATCCCAATCATCTCCTTCACGCAGTCCGTCCCCCTCATCCATGAGCCTCGCGTCATCCCTCGGTCGCCCCGCAATGGATACATCCTTTGACACACGCGGCGGTGGGGGCACCCACGCACGACGCTGGTGCTCATATCGACTGACAAGCGGCACACACACACACACACACAAAGATGTCTCGCCGGCCGTGGTCGTGTCGATTTGCTGGTAAGTCGTTCCTACCCGGTGTCGTCGAAGTTGGCGGGCCGTCTCCTCGATCTGCCTGCACCACCGGCAGCTCCAACAGCACCTGTACCGCCGGGGCTCCAGCTGATGGTGCTTCCCCCAACGCTCGTCAGCCCGCTGGACAGGAAGTCTCCTTCGGGGATGCCCTGTGCCTGTGCCGGCCTTCCGGGTCCAAGGGTAGCCGCGTCTACGGTGTCTGCCTCTTCTTCTGGGGGCATGCCCAGTGAGCCGACAAGGCTCGTCGGCACCACCTGGGCTGTCCGCCCCCGTGCCCTCCCTTGACGATGATACGGTTGCCGGCGGCCGCGACTGTGGGACATGAGATGTGTGTGACCTGGCAGGCCTACTGCTGAATAAATGGTATTGTGGGTGTGTGCTTACGAGGGGTAGATGGGCGGCAGGGCCTGGCTGTCCGAGACAAGGGCGTCCTTGACGTATCGCCCATAGTCTGACCTCTCTGTCAGACGGACAGACAGGAAGGTGACACAATAAACAAACAACACAAGCACGATTGCTCGCTCACCTTTCTTTTTCCGTTGGTATGTCGCAGGTCCTCTCTTCCTCTGTGGTCTCTCCCCCGGCGGCCGCCAGAGATCCCCAAAAGTCTCCGGAATTGGCTCGAGGGCCGTGTCTTGCCAAGCCAACCCATCCTGTTGGGCGGTCGGCTTGCGTGAGATCTTGCCCGACTCTGGCACATGTGAATGCACGATCGGAGGAATTGCTGCCCTGCGACAGACGGAAGGTCTGGTCTGTTGGCTCACTTGCGCGTTGAATAGTGTCTGTGATGCCAAACAGTGAGGCTGAAAGAAAGAAGGAGACATTCACATGGACACCGACAGTTGATGAGTGTGCAGGCCTGTCTGTTGGCATGCTGACCGTCAGCGGCGATATCCTTGAAATGCTGGGCCACCCGCGACGATCAATGCAGAGAAGAAGTGCATGACGCAACCAACGCACACAGGGAGGAAAGGAAGATATGGAGCCGCATGGCACCCATGGCATGGAACACACGCCCTTTACCTGTCCCAAAGCCTCAATCGTCTCGTCAACCTCGTGAATGCTACACACACACACAGAGATGCGCACACATACAAAGGGGGAGATACGACTGCTTTCGAGGCACAGATGATCCATTGTCTCGCGTACCGTTGTTCCTCGGTCTCCAGTCTGAATGAGAGGATCCTCTGGTGCAGCTTCCGACAAGCGCGCATCACTATCTTGAGCCTGTGCATTGCAGGGATGGGCATATAGAGGCGGTCGATCGCAGTGCATCATCTCGGTCGCATGAAGTCGTTCACCTGGCCACCCTGAGATTCTGCCTACGGTAATGCTTGATGCCGTGAAGCATCACAGAACTGCAGACGGACAGCCCACGCACTGAACCTCGCCATGCCTCTCCCTGCTTGTTTTGTTTCCTTTCAGGTCGCTCACCCAGCGATGAGAATGGTGGCAGACCAGAGGTGGCGGCTGGAGCACAGAAAGTAGAAAAACAGCGACGGCACCACGTCACGATTGGCCAAGAAAGCAACAGCCAGCATGGTGAAACCCAAACCGCTGACTCGGCACAGGCAGCAAAGGGGTGCACTTCACGCGCATCCCACTGCGCGATGATTCGTTCGTTCTTTGGTCAGTCACCTGAGGATCGTTCGAAGCACGATGAGAAACCGGACGGCCCAGTCGCGCTTCCGGGACCGGATTTTCTCTCGCAATATCGCTGCTGACATGCGAGTCTGGCATTTGGAAACGTGACGCCTCACGTTTCTGCACGATTCTTGTTTGTTGATCGTCCCTATGTACCTGCAGGTCTCTGATTCTCGCCAGGAGGACGTTCTCCTTGGGGTCTTCCCGCTGCAGCTCGCCTGGATCCACCATCATCAACTCATTCAAACACCTACCACACACACCGCACAAATGCACAATGCACAAACTACCATCCATCGTCTCTCCCCGTCATCGCTCCGTGTCCGACGCACCTCTGTAGGTCTTTCATCTCGAAGTATTCCTGTGGCTTCCTCTGGAGCACATCAAATTCCCACAGGGGCGTGTCTCCGACTTCGGTGCCAGCCTCACTCGCCAGCTCGGCGTCAGGGTGCACATAATGCAGCGACGTGTCAGGACCGTACCCAAATGACGGGGGCGGCGTCACCTCGATAACCTCTGGCTGCCCCTCTGCCTCAGATATCCCCGTCCGGAGCGTCTCGGCCGTCGGCCGCACTCGCACTGAGGGGAACCAAAGCGCGTCTGTCCGGTGTGCTGAGTGGTGTGCTCTTGGGTCTCCTCACCGCCTTTTGTGGTCAGTTGTGAGACATCGGTCTTGAGTCGTTTAGCTTTGCTGCGCTCGAGCGGAACGAGGCCCTTCTTCTGCGGCACGGAGATCTTGGGGAGCGTCTGGGGATCCGTCCAGACGCGCTGGAACTCGGGAGCGGTGTACCACTGCTGACGCAAGGCCTTCACAGAGGGACGGAGGGAAAGAAGAGAAAGGACCGACGCATCTATCGATCGAGCTCTGTTTTGTCTTACCTTCCATATTTTGCATCGTTCGTCGGGTGTGAATGTGACCCCCTTTGGCATGCAGCTCCCCACCAGCTCCAGGATGGTGTTGGCCTCCAGGTCGTCGATGCGTTTGTACTTGGGAATGGACTGCAGGCCGGCTTGAGCAAAGTGGCGGTAGAGGTGGGAGAGGCCGAGATCGCTGAGGATGACGCGCATCGAGATGGTGGGCACCTTCCTTTTGGGGCCCTCCCCCTCAGTCTGACTCATCTCTGTAAGGAAGACACGCAGACAGACAAATGAGTACGTGGACAGCTTCCGCTGGCACCAGCCAAACATGTTTTCGCTCTACCTTTCTCCTCTTCTCCCATTGGCCGATAAACTCTCGTCGCAGCCTCCTGTCCCTGATAAGCAAAGCCCCATGTCGGCCACGCCGCAGGCTGATCCTTTGGCAATGCTGCTGCACCAGTGGGAAGTTGCCCCTTCTCCTCGTCTACATCTGCAGGCCCTTGCTCCAGGCCCCTCCCAGACCGGCCGCTGATGTTAAGCAGGGGAAGCCGGAATGATGTGCGTTTCCTTGACGAAGACTGAGACTGCCCTTGAGACGACGCCATCGTGCTCCAGGCCCTGTCAGTGGCCTGGTCACGGAAGCTTTGCAAATGGCGCTGTAGTAGCGAGATGCTTTGTTCACCAAGTCCCCTTTCTCTTCGGGACTCGCGAAGCTTGCTGAGCGTGGCACGCTCTTACGAAACAAAGTGTTTATCCGTTTGTCCGTAATTGGGGCCAAGCTAGCAATTCCCTTCGGTTCCCTTGGGGGGGCTTGCATGCGAGCTTGGGGGCTTTGCATGCATTTCTTTCGCGAACGCGAGCGAGTCCCGCCAGCCCGACGGAGGAGGGAAGTTTCATTTCCAAAATAAAAAAAGAACGAAATCAGAGAAGTCTGCGAGCTAAGCGTGCAGAAGATCTTGAGCTCCATTCCCTCTAGCCATGTCTTCTGGATTCATCCCCTCGCCGAACCGACCACCTCCTTCGAGCGCGCCCACCTGCTCGCCCTCTGAGCGGCCTGGCGACCACAACCTTGACAGCTGGAGGGCTGGCGAAGCGAGATCGCTGGGCGAGAGTCTGTCCTTCCCGTGTGCCGCCTGTGGCAAGAAGCCCGAAGACGTGCCCGATGGCGTAGGCGTCTTTCCGAAGTGCAATCGGTGCAAGCTCGTCAGCTACTGCGGTACGATGGATGTGACAACCATTGACGCATGCATGACCGCATGTGTATTGTTATATTTTGTCTGTGTGACTTACTTAGGGACTGAATGCCAGCGGAGTGACTGGCCGTCGCACAAAGACAAGTGCAAGATGGGCAAGGAGGAGATGGCCCGTACCGTGGCAGGCTCGTATGAGTACGTGCTTCGATGGAGTCATGGCCACATGGATTGGCTGCCCTTCTTTGAGCACATGCGGCGGCGTCAGGGGTTCATCCTCGGCGACATCTGCACCTTTCCAACACCACCAAGCTGAAAACCTTCTCCCTGAAGCTCTCGGCCATTGATGCTCGCAACTGTGCCGTCGGCAGTACCTGCATCCTGCGCCCAAACTCGACTTACGAGCCCACCAGCCTCGCCCACTACGGGATGGTCACCGACACGTTGGCTGACCGGTCTGTGATAGTCGCCCACGGTCAGCTGCGAGTATTCCCCATCACGCAGAGCCACCCGCACAGCAACCCGGTCTTCTTCGAGGCAAGCCCCGAACTGTCGACAATGCTCGCGATGCTACAAGTCTGTGCGCAGACTGCCCTGGAAGACATCATCGACGAGACCACTTACGCGCCCCTGTGCCTGATTCCTGTCTTTCCAATGAGAGACTGGGGCCAGGCCTCCCGAGTGCTCTTCTGGCAGGTGAGTGCAGTGCAGTGCAGTGCAGTGCCGTGCAGTGAGGGAAGATACCTTGCAGCATCGTGCGTGTGGCTGGGTGTGGCTGGGTGCATGGTGCGTGCTGCCTGTGTCTGTGTCTGTGTCTGTGTCTGTGTGTGTGTGTGTGTGTGTGCAGAAGCTGAAGCTGGGCATCAGGATTGATGGGAGAGGGGACTGTTCCTGGTACTTCCTTCCCTCAGTGGTGTACACGTCGATGGAGGCGCTGCTGCGCGGCGTTGCCAAGGTCTTCGGGGCGGGAGTCATGGACCGCATCAAGATGGCACACATGACCACCTACGACACGTGCGCGACCCGTGCAACACACATGGCACACACACGACGCTTTCAAATATGTGTGTGTGTGTGTGTGTATTCAGATACGTCGGGACGAGCGTCGGCGTGTTGACGGCCCCAATCAAGGACATGATGACGCGAGCAGCGTGGCAGGCCAACATCGCGGCCTTGATCCAGCACACGGAGCTGACCGACACACTGCAGGACCTCTACCGCACCAGGGCACAAGAGGTGAATGAATCCGTGTGGCACAAACACACACACTTGTGTATGTTATGTTTGTTTGGCAGCGGCGTGTGTCCGCCGAGGTGGTTGAGAAGGAGGTCATGAATGCGGCCATCGCCTTCACGGACCTGGTGCGCGCCCACCTCATCGAGTACACCGAGGTCAGCACGATCGCTCAGAAGGAGACCAACACAGACAGCCCAGAGAGAGATGAGGTGTGTAACACAGACAGCGGTCTTCTTGGCTGTCTGTCTGTCTGTCTGTCTGCTCTGTGCCCACAGGACATGAAGAGCAACACGTACGAGAGAATGTCACTGCAGGACCACTGCGGCCTCCCATGCCACGAGTGGCGGCGCATCAGAGCCGAGCTGCGGGACATTTCTGTCGAGAGCTATCCGGAGGACGTCAAGGCTGTCATCAACATGCCCGAGTGTGAGGAAATGCAGCCAGAGAGCGTGGTGGGACGGCTGTGCCGCCTGCAGGCCGACGGCACCTATATGCCCTCCTTCCTTATGCTCCTGCGGGCGCATGGCCTGCTGCGTCTAGACAGGAGCAAGTGATTGGCTGATGGGGTGCATGGGTGGTGTCGGTGGACAAACGATGCGGCGTCTTGTCTGCCGCCGTGGCGATAGATACTCATTTTGATGTGTTGCGACTGACTGCTGATCTAGATCGTGTCGCAAGTCATCGGACAGATCCAGCCCGTCAAGCAGCGTGTTGAGAGGTGCGATTACTGCATCCGTGTCTCGGTGGTCTCGCATGCAGATACGCGCGCGAGCAGGCAGCCGCTATACACACACACACATGGGTCCACCAGAACGGCACACACACAGACAGACAGACAGACAGACAGGCGGTCGGGCGTAAGGGGCATCCATCCATCTATCCATCATGGTGGCCACACAAGACAGACAGACGGACGGACGGTCTCTGTAGGCGACGAGAAAGTGAGAGAGAGAGGGAGGACTATACACACGGACGGAGACCGTCACACCCACGGCGAGCACACAGCCAAGCCACTCCACACAAGTGTCAGTCAACCCGTCAGTCATGTCGTACACACAAGTTGAAAGGTCTTTACATCCATCCATCCATCTGTAAGAAGAGAGAGAGAGAGAGAGAGAGAGGCTCCAGCCAGCAGCCAGCCAGTCATCCACCCACACACATCCGCGCACAAACACCCACACCCACAACCACGCCGACACACATATCATGGCTTGCAAGGACAAGCACAAGCGGGCCGTTCGCTTGTCAATTCTCCCTCCCTCTCTCCCATGCCGGCATGCATTATGATACTGACTTACATGGCAACGGCGAGAGAGGCGGGGCAAGGAAAGAAAGGTCTGAAGGGGAGGAAGGAGTGACATCTAATGCAATTCCTAGGTGGGCAGCCAAAGTCCGGTGGGATAGCAGCAGCCAGGTAGGCAGGCAGTAAGATGGGACGGGCGCGGCGCAATATATGGATGGCATGTGGTGTGGTGTGTATCCTACCTTCTTTGCTCGCTCACGCTTTCCCAGCCAGCTCGGTCCTTCGGTTACTCGTCTACAGAGGGCTGCAACACGCCCTCGCCCTCCTCTCCACCTCCCCCTCCCTCTCCCTGTTTCTCCTTTTCCTCTCCTGTGTCCTCCTGCTGCTGCTCTGGTGTGTGGAAGGGATTACTACAGGCCACCACCCGACCGCCGCTCTCGCCCTCCCACCCCTCATCAGTCACCCGGCTCTCCAACGCCCCCGCCTCGTTGCCGATGCTGGTCGACCGGGTGGAGACAGCGTTGGTGTGGGTTCGGCCCCTCTCCACCGTCGTCTCGGCCTTCTCCTTGTCTGGGTGCATGTGTGGGTGTATGTGAGGGGCCGACGGGCCGTCGTCGGTGAGAGAGGGGGGTAGCGGCAGCTTGGCTGATATGTCCAGGCTGCTAAACGACACCAGCCGGCGGTCGGGGTGGCTCCTCGCCCGCTTCGGATCCGACACAGCCATCACCTCGCCATCGCCGTCCCAGTCGAGCAGAGGCTTCCTCTCGTCAGACTGGCTGTGAGGGGTCACTGGCCGATTGCCCTCCTCCTCCGGCTGCGGGATCGACAGCGTGACAATGGGCGGAAGGGGTGGCGATCCCTCAGGCACCCCACACGCAGACGCCAGCTTGGGTGCTGGTGGGGGTGGGGGTGGGGGCGGCGGATGAGGAGGGGGAGAGGAGGCGAGGGGCTTGCGCGCCGACGAGCGGTCGAAGGAGAGGGACCGGACTCGCGCCTCCTTGTTAGTCTCCCGCCTGCCCCCCGACACACACGTGGCCGCCACCTGCCGAGCAGTCGCCCTCCTGTCCTCGCCATCCCTACCGCCGTGTTGCCCCCCGCCACCGCCCCAGTGGTGGAAGAAACCTATCATGGTCTGCAGCAGCCGAGACGACGCATTCCCCCTGTTGTTGTGGTGATGCTGCTGCTGGTGGGGGTCCGTGCCGTTCGGCACCGAGCACCGGATGGGCGGGCTGGCAGTGGTGGGTGTGTAGGGCTGTGGGGAGGGCTGTGGGAGCGCCGGGGGGCTTATCGGCTTGGCTTTGTCATTGCTGGTGGCGTTGTTGTTGTTGCTGCTGCTGTTCTGCTGTGTCTCTGCGGTGCCGCCGGTGTCTGCGGAGAAGCAGGGAGGGGAGGGGGGCGGGCGGATGGATGCCGTGGCGCTAGACGACATGGAACGGGCAGGCTGAGCGAATGGACAGACGGCAGGGAAGCAGACGGAGGGCTGTGTCCATGTGTGTGTGTGTGTGTGTGTGTGTTTCATTCTGCGGATCGGATGTGTGTCTTACGGGTGGCTGTGGGTAGGCGACCAGCCGTTGGGATGAGAGCAGATCCGCTGAAGACCTGCACCTTGGCAGCGACTGCTGCTGCTGCTGCTGCTCACGCGACAAGACCTTCGCCCCACGACCGGGCGGACGCACCAGACGAGCCTGACAACCAACGAGGCACAACGACACATGACACGCGTCCAGATCTCCACAGTTAGGTAGGTAAGTAGATGTATGCATGCATTGTTGATCTCGTCTGTCTCATCTCTCCTCACCCCCTCTGTCTCGTCATGTGTGCCGTTGATCATCGTCTGCTCGGCTGCTGCCCCTCCCGCCGCGCCTATCCCCGCCCCTCCAGCTCCCTTGCTCGGCCTGCTCTGCGGCGGCAATGGCGGCCTCGAGCGACACGACATGCGCCCCTTCCTCACCACCCCACTCCCACTCCCACCACCCCCACTCGCACCATTCGCCCCCTCAGGGACATCCCCATGCAGCGCCCCTAGCTGCTGCTGCTGCTGCTGCTGCTGTCCGCCAGTCACTGCCCTCTTATGGCTGTTGATGGCCGGCAGAGACAGCCGCCCCCTCTGCATCTCCCTCTCCCTCTCCCTCTCCCTCACGGTGGATGTGTCTTCAAAAATGTCGATGTCGTGGAACTCCTCCAGGTCGTCTAGCATCAGGTCGTCTGCAACTTTGTTGTTGCTGCTGCTGCTCCTGCTGCACCGGCCGCTGAGGGAGACGTCCATGAAGTTGGCGATCCGGATGGAGGGCCCCTGCCCCTGCTGCTGCTGCTGCTGCTGTGTGGGGGCGGGGTGGGTGATGGGAGGCAGCTGCTGCTGCTGGTGGTAGTTCTGCTGTTGGCTCTGCTGCTGCTGCTGCTGCTGGCGTGCGAATGGGAGGGGCGTGAGGGGAGCGAGTGGGGCTGAGGGTGAGCGGATTGGGAGGTGGTCCAGGTCGTCATCCATCGACAGCGATATGTGCGGCCTGACATCAAGAGCGAGGGAGGGAGGGAGGGAAGGGAAATGTGTGGATGTGTGTATGGTCTTTCTCCTGTTGGTAATTTGCGTGTTGTGTGTGTGTGTGTACCCTCCAGGTCCGCGTGTGATGGTGATGAGGTCCTCTGGCCGCGTGAGCCACGAGTGGAGATGCTCCTCTAGCAGACGCAACTCCTGCACACAACATCCACACACACAGACACATCCGGCACAGATGGCACAGATGGCACGGTGCTATCTTATCTATCTGTCGCTTCATGTGTGTCGTGTGTGACGTGCAGGTGAGGTGTGTACCTCCGATAGTTCCTCGATGGTCGGCTGCTCGAAGAGCTTGATCTTCTTGCAGCTCACGTGCAGACAGTGCCTGCAGATAAATGGATGGATGGGAAGGAGAGAAGAAAGGAAAGACACACAAGACAACAAGAGAGAGATCCGCCGATACATCTATCTGTCTGTTACGAGGCCCTCCCTCCCCTCCTGCGTGACGTGACTTACCTCTTGATATGGTTGGTGGCGTGCATCTCGTATATATCGTCCCCGATGGCCACCAGCCGCGTCACGCCCTTAAGGCGATGCACCTCAGACAGAAACGTGTTACACTGATGGATGACCCACACAAACCAGACACCAAAGAAACATCCAACCCCTCCATCCGTCCACCCATCCACACATCAGATGCCCCTCCCCCTTCCCTCCGCTCCGCTCTTTGCTCCCCCACTACTTTCTCCTCTGACCTTCCACTGTGCGATATCGTTGGCAAGGCACTGTCCCGCAGCCGCCAGGTTGCCGCTATCCTCCCGGGCGCTGATCCGCCGCACCCCCCTCTCCCTCAGCCACCCCTGCAGCACCGGCATGAACTCACCGAGGCTCGTGTCCAGCCAGTGACGCGTGGCGTTGGACACCACCACCAGGGAGCCGAAACGCGACGCCACCTCGAGCACACGGATGGCCCGCTGCTCCAGCCGACGCAGCTCCGCCAGCAGCTGCTCATGCAATTGGCTCAGCCGGTCTATCTGAAGCCGCCTGAGGCCGGACCTCGGAAAGATAGTGTCATCTGCAACACAAATGCCACCACAAATGCCGTCAGATAGCAAGAACAGCCCATTTGCAATGGAGAACGTGATAAAGAGGCCTTTTCTTCGTTATTTTTGGGTACCCCAGTCCCATATGAGGAGGTAGGGGGGGTGGTCGGTGGGCAGGGCGTCGCCCACAGCGGCGGTGATGCTCGTGGAGCGGCTGCTGTCGTTCGAGCAGGCGGGGGAGGCCGCCTGCCCGTCGGTAGGCTCTCCTGCACCATTGAGCTCTTGTTTCTTGGGCTCGGCCGCATCCTCACCACCAGTATTGGTCGTCATACCGACCTACAAACCATCCAAACGAAAGCGGACGAAAACTCTGTTTACCCTCCAGATGCGCGCTTTTTCTGTGATCTTCGTCCAGAGCGAGATGAGGTCAAATATCTTTCTTGTCACGCGGCGTTTGCCCTTCCTGGCACCACGGCCCTTTTCGTCGCTCCGCGTGCGATTCGAGGCTGCGGTGGTGCCGAAAGTGAGAGCCACAGCAGCCCTCCTCTGCCCCGCAGACCACCAATGGCACAAGAGCAGCAGCAGGCAGAGGAGCAGCGATGAGGACTCGAGTCGGCAGGTGCTGATGACGGCGTTGGCCATGACGGGTGTGTTCTACGTGGGTATGGAGGAGACGAGGAAGCGCCGGCGGCAGGCAGCCCACTGCATCATGGCCACGCCGCACCGTGAGATCACCATGCACAGCAAGGACGAACCCAAGCTCAAACACACCGACACCGCCTGGAAGCTCTTCATGGTGAGGGTCACATGGCAGCCAGAGAGGGAGGGAGGGAGGGAGGGAGGGAGGCTCACATCCGCGCAGCAGAGGTCTGTGTGGACACACGTGTGTGCGTGTGTGTGTGCAGCGTCAGAGCTGGTTCAACTGGATCTGCGGTGTGTTCTGGCTGACGTGGAGCACCATCGTGTGCGTGACGTGTGTCGGCATTATCCTCTTCCAGCTGTGGCACTTCGACTCCAACAGAGCACTCTGAGGCCACACATAGACAGACAGACAGACAGATCCGATGATGCAACGCGGCAATTTTGCTGTCACCTCCTCAGCATTGTGTGTATTGTATTATTGTAGCAAGACCCGAGTTCGCCTGCTTGTGTGTGTATTGCCCGAAGGTAATGCTGTGTCGGGCATGGCAGTTGGTGGGCGGCAGTGAGGATGAGAGAGAGGGTGACCTTTTCTCTCTTTGGTCTGGCTGTTGCCGTGAGTGAAACTGACAGTGGAAGGATGTGCTGACTGACGTTATGTGAAGGAGAATCCCAAGAGAAAGTTCAATTGACAGAGGAGTAAACCATGCCGACAGACAGACACCATGGCATGTGTAGCGTCATTCAATCACTCTATCCACGCAGTCTGTCCATGTGTGGATGGCTACTCACTCGTCATCCATGCGCCTGCCCTGGTCTATGACCTCCCTCTCTAGTCTGACTTGTCTGAGCATACCACGGGCATGGCGGACGGTAACGGGATAGCACTCATCCACAGACACACCACCACTCACACGCCCCTCCGTCGTGTAGATCTCTATGTGTCCACGCCAAACTATGTGTGCACGCCAAACTAGCAGGTGCGCAGCGACGGTCTCATTGGGCCGGTGGCCACACAGCACCACGGTGCGTCCCGCATGTCTATACTCGTCATGCATGTCCGCCACGATGCAGTCGCCGAAGGCCTCTGTGGCCATGAGGGACCCAAGGCGGGCATCAGTGTGTGGGACTGACGCCGTCAGGATCCTCCTCTTGCCCGCTGCTTCATGCCTGTTCCAGTAGCACATGAGGTTGTCCGTCATGAAGGCCGAGAATGACGAGTAGCGGTACCGACCGCCGTCCTCCTCGATGGCCGGGTCGTCTGTGTCGTAGGGCTGGTTGCCCGGGGCCGCATAGGCCGGCAGAATGCGGAAGCGCACATTGCCGACCTTGTGGGGATAGATGCGGTGGTGGTCGTCACTCTCGTCACTATGGTCCTGCTTGCACACACAAACACACAATCAGCGGACACCATACCCATGTGCCCCTCCCTATTGGGCAGTTCAGTCAATGCCTACGTCGTCGTCAGGTTCCATCGGCTGCCCCCCACCGCCCGCCTCGCCGTCGCCATCGCCAATCAGGGCGTCCTGCAAACCGCCACACCATGCACCACACACACGAGCCGTCCATCAAAGCACCACACCACATCAGTATGTCTGTTGCTGACCTGGCCACCGTCAGACGCCATGGGCCCCTCTTGGCCGTCGTCCTGAGTAAGGGGCACATGTGTGGGTGCAGTGAACACACTCATGTCTTGATGTGGCCGCCACCGACCTCCTCAGCGCCACCATTGTCCACCGGCTCGGCCAGATCATCCTCTTGCTCGCCACTCTCGTCAGGCCCACCATCCTGGAGACACAGACGCATGGCAACGGCATGACGACAGCACACGTCACTCAGGAATGTCCCCTCTGATGTGACTGACCTCGCCAGCGTCATTCTCGTTCGTCTGCTCGTATGTGGTGAGGGCCAGGCTGCCGCCCTCGTAGCTGAGCAGATGGCCGATGGTCTTGCAGATGGCCAATGAGAGCGGCAGCTGGTGCAAGGCGGCCCTGGTGGGCCAGTGCTGCTGCACCCACTCAGCAGATATCACCAGCGGCATAGCGAGGGTCAGCCGATAGATGGCCGCCACACGCAGGAAGCCGCCCAGCCAGGCCCACAGACGGCCACCACGCTCCAGCAGATACAGCACGCGGCACAGGTAGTCGATGCGCGAGAGGCCGCCGGGCAGCGGAGCCGCCCCAGCCGTCCCGCCATGTCTGTCGACGTCAATCAGCCCAGTGAGCTCATAGCGCCTCAGCAATGCGTCGATGCGCCGCAAGATGAAATCACAGCCGATGACGGAGGTGCCGCTGGTGTGTGACGAAGATCTGACTCGGATGGCATCACGGACGCCCAGATTGGACAGCACTCGACGCTGCCACACCTGCAGAGGCAACACATGCGCCATTTGCGGCCATTTAATTCATTCGGGAAAGAAACGCGAGCTTCAAGGCGAGCTTGGCATGGGATCGGGGGGCGACATTCCGGCTTCTTGAATCCACCATCTACTGTCGACATCATCATGTTGCGGCGCATCTCTCAGCGACTGATCTCTGAGCCGCAGCCATCGCCGGCAGTGCTGCGTGAGTGCGCTGATCAGCTGGTCAGGGCCCTCCCGAGTGAGAACCACGAGCAGGTCGACTTCTACTGATCCGTGTCGATGTTCTGCAACAAGTTCGCCGGCTATGCATTCACAGATCCGCCTTTCTGGCAGCAGCTGGGGGACGTACTCATCGGCGTACTCACACAGACGCAGCAGCAGCAGCGGCAGCAGCAGCGGCAGCAGCAGGAGGCCTCAGGCTCCTCATCGGCGGTGGAGATCCGATGGCTGGCGCTTATTCTCAACTCGTACGCCAGGGTGGACTTCCG